GTGCAGCAGCGGCTCCTGGCCCTCCCTGCAGCACCAAACTGCTGGGGGTCCCTCAGCAGACATATCTGACTTAAAAAGGAAATACGCTCTTTCATGACTTAACTCTTATTTTTAGAATGGGTGACTCATCTGCACCGCGGAGACTGCAGCCTGCTCTCGGGGGAGCTCGCTGAGGCTGAGCGCCTGTTCCCCGGCCAAGCGGGGTTGGGGGGAGAGGGGAAGGGGGCCGGGCTGGCCTGCCACACCCAGGGGCCAATGTCCAGCTGAGAGGTGAGGCGGTCACCCCCCATCCACCTGCCCCTCCAAAATATCCCATCTCAGGATGCCCGGGACACCAGAAAGTGCGGCTGAACAGAGGATGGCATGTGTCACGTCCCGTCCAGGGAATGAAGTCAGGACCAGTGAGCTGTTTCTAGAGGTCTCGCCTCCCCATCCTGTCCCCACACAGGCTGGCCACGGAGGCTGCCCAGGTGTCCCTGCACCAGCCTTGGCTGTGTCCTCCTCAATGACCCTCGGCCAGGGGAAAGACCAGGTGTCAAGTCCCTGGGGCAGGAAGAATGAACCAGTTCCCACACTGCATGGGGTGTGGGGGGAGCATTTCTAGTGATGAGATTAGTGCACAGGCCATGGGGCCACCCCGTCCGCCCGCCTGCCCCCCCACTCCAGGCATCCCTCCCCTACTCACCCCTGCCCCCCCAAACACAGACCCTCCCTGAACCCCTCCAGACCCTCACCTCGGGGGTTCTCACTTGCTGTGCTTTCCCAATATGTATAACCCAGTTGTTTCTTTATTTCTTTCATAAATTGAAAGAAAGAAAATGTACATGTACATTATAGAAAAAATAGAAACTCAAAAGCCGATATGGAGCAATAGAATAAGAAGGTTCATGGGTAGGAGAAGGCATATGTGTCTTCTCGAAAGTACTAGGAACAGCTCCAGATGAGACACAAGAAACTGACACCATGAGCAGCACTTGCAGTGGGGGTTAGGTCGCTGGGGGAGAGGTGGGAAGCAGGCCGGCCTTTCCCGGGATGCCCTTCTGTGGTTTTCAGGGCACCAGGGGGCAGGCAAGGAAGGTGCAGGAACATCCCCAAGGCCACCCTCACTTCTGACCCCAATTACAAGTTCAAGAGTCCCCAAACCACGCTCAGGTTCATCATTCCTTAGAAGGACTCCAGGGGGGATCCCTGGGTGGCGCAGCGGTTTGGCGCCTGCCTTTGGCCCGGGGCGCGATCCTGGAGTCCCGGGATCAAGTCCCACGTCGGGCTCCCGGTGCATGGAGCCTGCTTCTCCCTCTGCCTGTGTCTCTGCCTCTCTCTCTCTCTCTCTGTGTGTGACTATCATAAATAAATAAAAAATTTAAAAAAAAAAAAGAAGGACTCCAGGGCAGCCAGGGGGGCTCAGTGGAGACCCCGGATTGAGTCCCACGTCAGGCTCCCTACATGGAGCCTGCTTCTCCCTCTGCCTCTGTCTGTGCGTCTCTCTCTCTCTCTGTGTCTGCCTTTCGTGAATAAATAAATAAAGTCTTAAAAAAAAAAAAAAAAAAAGAAGAAGGACTCCAAACTCACCAGAGGCTCCATGCTCACCATGGTGGTTTATTACAGCAAGAGGATCGGGATCACAACCAGCCAAGGACAGAGGTGCACGGGGCAGAGTCTAGGTCAGTTCCATGCATGGAGCCTCTGGCCGCCCTCTCCCAGTGGGGCCTTGGACAGCGTCAGCTCCAGCCCAGAGGAATGTGTGGCACATGCAAAGTGTCACCAACCAGGACGTTCTCCCCCAAACAAGCCTCGGTGTGCAGTTGTTGTTGGGTTGGACCCCCTAGACGTGGTTGACCACCCACATATCCAGCCTTCAGTCTCCAGCCCACCTGGAGATCAAGAAGAAACCACATGGCCCTATAACAAATCACATGGTTAGACTGTCCCATGTGGCCCAAGGTCCCAGGAAAACCAGGGCACTTTGATCAGAGGAACATTCCAAGGACCTAAGGTTCCCTCCCGGGGCAAAGACCAGAATTCTCTTTGGATGGTTTAATTCATTACTACCCAGGACTTCATACAAATAGGATGACTAACCATCCCAGCGTGCCCAAGACGCTCCTGATTTTAGCACTGCAAATGTGTCACAGGGAACCCCCGAACCCAAGCAGATCCCTCGGACCCATGACAATGAGCCACCCTACACGTGAGCACCCTCCACCCTCCCAAAAAAGGTAGTAGCTTTGCTCTGTGCAGTCTTGGCTAAGCTTCAGTGACACTAGCCAGAGAGCGTGGCCCAGAAGGCAGCTCTAGAGCAGCCTCAGGTCTTGGGGCTCTGAAGGTCCGAGTGGGGCGCCAGGCTCCCACCACCCCCACAGACCCAAGGGAATCGGAATAAGCGAGACAGACAAACATGGTTGGTTCTGTCCTGGAGGGGCAGGTTTGACCCCCCCACCCCACCCCAGCCACCCCCCCACCAGCCCCCTCACTCCCAGGGTCTCCTGTCTGCAGGAAATCTCCTCTGCAGCATCCAAAGTGCACCCCAAAACCAACAGAAGGGAGCAACTTGGCCTTCCGAGCACCTGACACATTTCTCATCAAGTTTGCTCCCATGTGCTCTGTCCTTGACATTGCTTCTTATAAATGGGGTCTTTTGTGCCAGCGTATCTCTGTCTAGATGGCCCGGTGCCAGCAGTTGTGAACATCTTCCTCTCGACTCCGGGGTTTAACAGTGACATTGCTGACGCCTCCCTACCTGTCATGATGCTACCTTCTCTGTTAAGAGAGAACTACCTTTTCAGCTTAAAAACATACCAACAGGGATGCCTGGGTGGCTCGGCAGTTGAGCGTCGGGCTCAGGGATGCCTGAGTGATCCTGGAGTCCCAGGATCGAGTCCTGCATTGGGCTCCTTACAGGGAGGCTGCTTCTCCTTCTGAGTCTCTGCCTCTCTGTTTCTCATGAATAAATAAAATAAAATCTTTTATAAATAAATAAATAAATAAATAAATAAATAAATAAATAAATAAATACAAACACACCAACACATTATGTATTTCTGTTTTGTGATAAGTTTTGTTGAGATTGGATATGAGTTTTATCCACATGCCTTTGGAAATACAGCTAAGGAAATTATGAAATTATTTTTTCTCTTTGGAGCTGTTACTACGGGAAATCATATTAATTGATTTTCTAGTATCCAATCACTCTTGCATTTCTGGAACCCACTCCACTTGGTCATGATGTTTTAGCCCTCTGATGTGATGCTTAATTTGGTGATTCAAATTTTTGTGTCAGTATTTCTAAGTGACATCAGCATGCATTTCTTCTTTAAATGCTATGTTTGCTAGATTTTGGTATCAATGAGATGCTTACTACATAAAAAAAATTGGGAGCTTTCCCTCTTTTATGAGCTAGAGCAGTATAAATAGTATTGAGTATTTGGTGTAGTAGGGGTCCTTCTTTGAAACATTCTGGGCCTTTCAATCCTTTCTTTCTTGATTTAAGGAGGTGTTGCGTGTGGTCTCAGCCTACCAACAACCTAGTTTGTGACCACACTGGCTCCTGTGGTTCTTATTGTGATTGCAAGATGGTCTTCAGTAGCAACTGTCAGGAAACGTTGAAAAAATGAAGGTTTGGACGTGGAAATCACACAGCACACCTGGAGCCACACGGCAAGGTCACAGCTGGAGAGACAGAGCACCTGGATCTGGGATTCTGCTTTTATTCACATGAAGCATGGGGGCCTAGAGTTTCATGAGCTCACTCTTTACTGGTAAATTTAAAATATAAGAATGGGATTGATTGTTAGCTTTTTTCCCTCAAAAATACCACTGAACTGTATATTTAAAAACGGTTAATGGGGGGGATCCCTGGGTGGCTCAGCGGTTTCGCGTCTGCCTTTGGCCCAGGGCGCGATCCTGGAGTCCCAGGATCGAGTCTCGCGTCGGGCTCCTGGCATGGGCCTGCTTATCCCTCCCCCTGTGTCTCTGCCTCTCTCTCTCTATGTCTATCAAGAATAAATAAATCTTAAAAAAAAAAAAAAAAAAAGGTTACTGGGGGCATCTGGGTGGCTCAACCAATAAGGTAAGAGCCCAACTCTTGACTTTGGCTCAGGTCATGAGATCAGCCCCATGTCAGGCTCCTCGCTGGGCATGGAGTTTGCTTGAGATTCTCTCTCTCTCTCTCTCTCTCTCTCTCTCCCCTGCCCCTCCCCCCACTCACGCCTGTGCTTTCTCTCTTAAAAAAAAAAAAAACTTGTTAAGATGGTAAATTTTGCATTTATATTTTTAACACAATGTTGAAAAAGAAAAAGGAGAAGGAAACCCATAAGAAATGTTATTTTTAAAAATCCAGGACTTGGGGACATTTATTAATTCTATCACTCTGTTATTACACCAATTTTCTCTTTTTTTATATATTTTTTAAGATTTTATTTATTTATTCATGAGAATACACAGAGAGGAGAGAGAGAGAGAGAGAGAGAGAGAGGCAGAGACAGGCAGAGGTAGAAGCAGGCTCCATGCAGGGAGCCCGACGCGGGACTCCATCCCAGGTCTCCAGGATCACGCCCTGGGCTGAAGGTGGCGCTAAACCGTTGAGCCACCCGGGCTGTCCACTAATTTTCTCTCTTACCTTTATTTCTCTTTGCGTCTCTTCAGTGTTTCTTAGCTTTGTTCTATCATTCTTTTTTAAATTTATTGAGTCATGTACTTAATTCAGCAATTTTCATTTTCCCTTATTTGTTCATGTAAGTATTTTAAGAAATGACTTTTCCTATAAGAACAGCTTTAGCTGCATCTCATAAGCTCTGGTGTGTAGTACTTACATTATCACTTCGAGTCGTTCTCCAGAAAGCCCTCTTCTGCATTCCTGTAAAACACAGTGTGCCCACCCAGGCATTCTTTACATTATGCAGTTTGGGCACCATGCTGTACAATATAAAAATAACGTAAGCTGCGTATGTACTTTTAAATTTTCTAATAGCAACATTAAAACACACTAAAAGAAACAGCTGAAATGAATTTTAGTATTTTATTTAACCCAATTATGACCAAAATATTATCATTTCCATGCATGATCAATGTAAGACCATTATTAATGAGATTATACAATATTTTTCTGTATCCAGCCTTCAAAATCTGGTGTGTATTTTACACCGACAATATATCTTAATTTGCACTGGCCACACTTTTTGTTTTGCTTAAAGATTTTATTTATTTATTCATGAGAGACATGGAGAGAGAGAGGCAGAGACATAGGCAGCGGAAGAAGCAGACTCTCTGCAGGGGCCTGATGCAGGACTCAATCCCAGGACCCCGGGATCATGACCTGAGCCAAAGGCAGATGCACAACTTCTGAGCCACCCAGGCATCCCTGCACTGACCACACTTTTGGTGCTTAATAACCATCTGCCTAGTGCAGAGCTAATATCTATTTCCAGGTCTCTCTGCCCACTTCTTAGCTCCCAGCCTGCAAGCTACCTGAGGGCAGGCACTGTGTTTTACACATTGTATTCACGCTGCCTCTCCTAGTAGGAGTCCTCCACTCCCCCATGCTTACCGAGTTGAAGGCCCAGTTATCCATCCACTAGCCATCATTACCATTCACCTATCCATCAGCTGTTCACCGTCTACCTTCCATGTGCTACAGTCTGTGCCTGTTGCTACCCACTGTGGGCAAAGGAGAATTTCCTTGTATCTCTCAGAAGGAACATGTCTGTTTCAGCCTCAGACATTCTTACTGGAACAATTCTTAGGAGCCCCAAGAAGACAGGCCGACTCCAGGGTGGAGCTGCAAAAGACAACTGAGCACAGCTGTTGTCCCTAAAGAGCAGACAAGGGCAAAGCTGGCACATAAGGGTACCACAAAAGTCACCCAAATACCCAAAACAGTGTTCTGAATGAAGAAAATTAAAAAGAATGGCAAAAGGCCAGTGGCAGGGCAGCCCGAGTGGCTCCGCGGTTTAGCGCCGCCTTCAGTCCAGGGCGTGATCCTGGAGACCAGGGATCGAGTCCCATGTCGGGCTCCCCGCATGGAGCCTGCTTCTGCCTCTCTCTCTCTCTCTCATGAATAAATAAAATCTTTAAAAAAAAAAAAAAGTCCAGTGGCAGAGACGGCCAGTTGCCTACTTAATATCCAGGTAGCCATCCTTTATAAGAGAAACCTGACGTCTCAGGTGGCAGTGAGCCCCACTAACAAACTCTATTTCTCAGTCTCCTCTGCATCTAGGGATGCCAGGTGACATGATTCTAGTTTGTGAGCTGTACAACTAAGGGTTTTACACATCAAGGGAGAGCCTCTCCCCCCCTCTATCACCCTTTTCTTTCTCTTCCTGCCTGGAACTCACTCAAGACGCCCGGAGTAGCAGTAGCTTTCTTGTGACCATGAAGACCAAAGCTACGTGTGAAGGATGGCAGGACAGAAATATGGAAGGGGCTAAGTCCTTGATAATATCACGGAGCTGCCACACCACGGCCTGGGAATGACAAAAGCCAGACTTCTTGCTACGTGAAAAGAAGAAAATTGAAGGGGAAAACAAGCTCTTCCTGCTTAAGTGACTATTCCCTTGGCCGTTACTTGCAGTTGGATGCAGTCGCTGCCTGCTATCAGGCCAGGGCACAGCCTCTCATTCACTCAGCCGCCGTGGCTTGAGGGCCTGCTCTGAGCCAGGCATGCGTCGTGAGGCTGTAGATGGATGGCTGGTGCGTGGATGCAGAGGCCTGCATTCATCAGAATTGTCATTTGTGAATAAAGAAACCAACGTAAACTGGCCTAAGCGGGGCGGGGGGGGGGGGGGTGGTGGTGGTAATATCTTGACTAGCGTAACTGGAAAGTGATTCAAGTAACACTACAGAATTTGGTCTTCTTCCAGGGTCCTGTGCTGGCAGCAGCACCTGCTTCTGTCCTGCTTCTGTGCCAGGCAGCCTCAACGGAAGGGGTTGCCGCGAGAGCCCCAGAATTCTGGCTCACGGGACCAAATGGCGAACCTCAAATACGTGTGGGGATGCCATCCCGCGTAGCCATGTGCACACACAGGCGGGACGCAGCTTACGGGCAGGTCCACCACATGTTGTTTGAGCTGACTTCCTCCATCTGAGTAGGGGCCGGGGGACTGCTTTGCCCTGGATGGAGGAGTCTCCCAGGACATGGAACTTTCCATTTTAAAACGGACAATCCTAGGCAAACCTCTTCGGTATATGACCCTGATAATGAATGTCATCCTTCTTAGAGAGATCAGTAAAATCACACCACCATTTAAAGAGAATTGAAAGGCACTTTCCTGAAGAATGATGAGAGCTCCTCCTCCCTAATGCTAGTCAGGTTCTTGACACGGGGAGGATGCGGTGCTGCTGGGCCACTGGCTGATACAACTGCTCAGAGGACAGCCACCCCCCCAGACCTGGATGAATCAATGCAGGGTAACCTCACCCTGTGCAGATTTTCCAGACTGTCACCCACAAGAGAAGAGCCTCATCTGCAAACCATCCCCCAGACACCCCACCATCAAAAGTCTCTCGGGTTGGTTAGTCCCACCTTCAGAAGGTCACTGCTTCGGCTGACCGTCTCCCCAGTCCCCGCGGTTGTCTCAAGTGTGGCAGGTCGTCCAGGAGCAAAAGATCTCCGTGTCGATGAGCTCCTCGGGCCCCGCCGCATGCCTGGCTCAGGTCCGTCTGCCAGGATGCCGCAAGGCTAGGTGGGCAGCTTCTGGCCGGGGCTTCCTCAGTCTGCTCACCCGGGGCCAGCGACACCAGCTCCCCGGGACTCTGCTCTGACACAGGTCCCCAGTCCTTGTGTGAAGGCACAGTGCAACCAGGTCCCAGCTTCCCGGAGACACCTTGTCCCTGCCCATGCTTCTTGGTCTGTGGGACTTGGCGGTCACGTTTGCTAAAATCTGCAGGGCAATTCGAATCTGTCACCAGGTTGAGAACCACGCAGCTACCACATGCTGCTCCTTAGGTGTGACGGGGAGGTGGGCGGCAGGGAGGCGGCAGGGAGGCGCCAGGTGCTTGGCTTGCGTCAGGTTTCCCGCCTGTCAGCCTTCTGAGGTACGTCTCGGCCACACCATTAAAAGTGCAAAGGAACCGAGGTCCCTGGGGCCCTGGCTGCTCCCCTGCACTGTCCTCCACACGACCAGCAGCGAGCACATAACCCAACCGGGTCATCCCCCTCTGAGGGAGGCAGGGCTTACTGCGCCCAGCTTAGACATGGGGAGAGTTTCCCTACCATCAGCCAGAGCTGGGTGAACTCGGGCGTCCCACACCTGTCCTGAGACCCTCCAGGGGTCTGCTTTAGGGAAGACCAAGGCAGTTGTGTGAACTTCGATCACTTCCCCGGGGAGGCAAGAGGAAGCTGACACACAGGGCAGCTCCGGTGGTGGGGCTGGCTTGTGATGTGACCGCGTCTGTCCTTTAGGCACCTCCCCCCAACCCTCTGGCTCATCCCCACCTCTTCCTGCAAGCCTGTTCACGAAGAATTAGAGGCAGAGAGAGCCCCAGAGCAAGCCCCGCCCCACGGTCGCTCATTCCAGGGACGGCGCCCAGAACCCGGTGGCCCCTCCGTCCTGAGTGGGCCGCGGGCCGGGCCGTGACCAGGGCAGCCCTGGTCCGTCCGAGGGGGCCGTGCCCGTGTCTGCCAGGTGCGTGGGGCAGGGGCACAGGAGACGCCGCCCGCCCGCCCGCCCGCCCCGCCCGCCGGCCGCACACCTTCAGCCTCGGCGCGGCCCCTCTGCCCGAGTCCTCCCGGGAAGGCGCGGCGCTCGCACCGGGGCCTAGTCCTCCTTGGGCTTGCGGGGCTGCCTCCGGCCCAGCTTATACTCAAGATAGGCCCCGAGGCAGGACCACAGAAGGCAGCGCGCCAGCAGGACGGCGACCAGCAGCGCCAGGAGCGGGTCGGCGCCCATGCGGGCGGGGTGGCCGGTGGCCGCGGTGCAGAGGGCCGGGCCGGCGGGGTCGGGGCTCCGGGCGTCCAGCCTCCCCCCCCCGCCCCGACAGCCCCCGCCGCCTCGCTCCAACCCCGGGCCTCCCCGCGGGCGAGCCTAGCGGCCTCCGCGGCCCAGAGCCCCGGGCGCCATCCCCGCGGCGCGCCGCCCCGGGCCGACAATGGGCGCTTTGTGGAGGCCGGGCCGAGCCCGCGAGCGCCCCCCGCCCCCGCCCCCGCCGCCGCCGCCGCCGCCCCCCCCCGCCCCCGCCCCCGCCCCCGCCGCCGCCGCCCGCGCTGACGTCACCCCGGCGGCCCCGCGGCAGCTGCGGGGCGAGGCGGCCCCCTCGCCGCCCGGCGCTTCCAGCCGCCCACGCCCGCGCTTCCGGCGCGCACACAATCGGGCCCTGTCTCTGCCCAATTAGCTGCCGCGCGGCGGGGGCGGCGGGGGACGGGGGACGGGGGACGGGGCCGCCCCTCCCCCCTCCCGGCGCCCCCTGCCCTCGCCGCGACCCCGGGCCTCAGGCCGGGCTCAGCCCCCGGGCGGGAGGGCCAGGCCGGCGGCGCGCGGAGGCGGGGGCCGAGGCCCGGGCGTGCTGGTCCCGGGCGCGGGGCGCAGGCGTGGGGTCCGGTGGCGGTGGCGGTGGCGGTGGCGGCGCGGCCTCCTGCGCTGGGAGGAGACGACGTCCGAGAAGGGCCCCCGCCCCCCCCCCCCCCCCGCTTCCGCAGGGACAGCCCGCGCCCCTGTCCGCGGCCACCCGCGCGCACCCACCCACAGGCACACGCGCAGGCGCCGGTCCTCTGGCCTCTCCCAGCCAAGCCTTCCAGGAGAGACGCTTGGGTCACCTCCTCCCACTCCCACCCTATGGCCTCATAACACAAAGCACCTGCCCCGAATGCAACCCATGACAAAAATGACGAGCGAGCCCCAGTCGGAGCTCAAGAGGCCCCACCAGGAAGAGCCGAGGTCCTGGGATCCAAGCACATTCTCACCTGGGTAATGGTCCACCCGCAGGTACCTCCTCAGAGAGATGGCGCAGGGGCCACCTGAAGCCAGTTCCTGGATTTTTTCTTTACCTACAAAGTGAGAATGTGCTCCTACTTAGCCTTTCCAGAAGGTTCTACCTAAGGACCAAATGCAAAGGCTTTGACAAGGAGCACAACCCAAGATGGGCAGTGGAGTAGGACGGCAGCACTCGAGTGTGGTTCTCATAATGATAATCCCAGTGAACGTGCACCGGGCACTCACCGTGGGCCAGACCCACCCACCATGAGCCCCAGTGGCGTCCCTCCCTCTGTGCTGACCCCTGCCAGCTCAGCCATCACCCAGACTGACAGTGCACTGTGCCCTTCTTTGCGGTCTGGGTGGCAGATGCCTTTTTCTGCCTCTGTCCATGGAGCAAGCCGCCAGCCAGTGGATCTGGCCAGGTGACCCAGCACATTTGCTGACCAGGACTCTCTCAGGGGACAGACACTAAGCTCTGGGCTTATATGCCTCATGCAGAGTATATGAGATCATGAAGTGATCTTCAAACTTACGTGAAAACTTAATGGGAGCCCAATGTGGAGGCAGCAATCACATAGAGTATTCTAGAACGGGCAACCCCTTGATAAAGACCTCCAGAGTGTTGCAGAGAAGTCCTCAGTGGTATACGGAGTCGCCTTCCCGGATACACCCATCTGCATATGGAACAGAGACCCAGGAGAAAGCTGCCACGAACTTGAGGAGAGAAAAGAGGCTGGATCCTGAGCGGGCACTTTGCTTACCTACGTGGCCAGCATCTCTGGGTGGGCACCCCGGGAAAGCCAGAGGGGCAAGTGCATGCCAGGCAGAGCCCTGTCCTCTGCCTCCCGCTCCAAAGCTCCCAACCTGGCAGATGGCGACGAGGTGGCCTTGGGTAAATTGCTCTGTTTGCCAAGCACACCATGGGACACACAAAGTCAACAGCACCCTGGTCACATGGCATCCACGCACCCAGACTCCTTAGGATCACAGAGGCCTCCTCATTCCAGCACAGATGTCCTCAGGCCCCGGAGTCAGCATGCCCTTTAGGAGAGGAAGCAGATGCCCCATCCCCTGGACAGGGTCACGGCTGTGCCCAGCACTGACTTCTCCTGAGAAGGGTCTACCTGACGTGCAGGTGCAGCAGACCTTAGATGGGTAAGGTGGCCATTGCCCACAAGGAGAAAAATAATTTGGTGATGAGACAGTACAGAAGGCAGGCCACGCAGTGCAGGTGTCACTCAGTTCCCACCGTCCCCCGTGAAGCAGACACTGCGTGCTCCCTATTCTAGTCATTTTGTAATTTGCAGCAATGATGGGTTTGGAGCATGGCCAGGGCTGCATCCTGACCCCCCTGGGACCCTCTACCCATCTCTGTGCTCCTGATCCCAGACTTCAGTGTCCATTTGCTCCCGACACAAGTCTCCTCCAGGGGACATGCTTGGCTGTGGGGGCTGCGCAGCTCTGAGTTGGGGAGCACCTCGGGGGACCTTCATGCCCAGGACCAACTGGGCTGGGGCGGGGGGGGGGGGTGAATACCCAGCTCCCCTGACAGTCAGTGCAAACTCAAAGGCCAAAAGTAGGCCCCATAATTCTGCTCAGGATCACCATGGACTTGAGACCATGCCCAAAGTCATACCTCTTCTCGGCTTCTCCCTTTCTTCCTGCCCTCCCCACCAAACTCATATTTCTCCCAGTGCACCACCTCTTAAAGCACCTGCCCCAAATGCAACCCCTGACAAAGATGACGAGTATCCCCATCAAAGCGAGTCAGAGTTTTCCACAATGGACAGAGCTGTGCAGTGGGAGGCTCCAGCCCGGGACCATCGAGGACAGAGTGAGGTGAGGACAGATCTGTAGCAAAGACCCTTAAGGGTTTTCCTACACCCCAGTGGTCTACCATTGAAGCAACATCGGGCAAGTCCTCTCTCACTGTTCCTTAAGAGAATGCCAGGTGACCCCTTCCTCAGGGGAGGCCAGAGGAGGAGGGCTGGGGATGGAGGCACTGCCCAGCGCCCACCCAGGACCAGCTGTCACTGTGGGTGACAGCACCAGAACCAGCCCCGAGAGCCTCATTTGAGTTGCTGGGTGTCATGCAGTGTTCTGCAATAGCCCCTTCACATGTCTGCAAGCAAGGCCAGGGATAAGCCTACTTTGCAGGGGAAATAAATCACTGCCAAAGGCCACAGGATCCGGTGGACTTCAGGGACCCCAGGGCAGGAGTCAGTGAGTGAAGATAGGTCCTCTCACCCAGGACCCATACAACATATCCCCCTGCTTTTGTTAGGTTGTTTGGTTGGTTTTGTTTTTTACTTTCATCATGGCACTGATGTCTCTGAAATCCTCTATCTTTGTCCAGCATGTGAGCTCTGGCCACATCCCCAGGAACTTAGCTCAGCTCCCAGCACCTAAAAGGCACTTGGTGGGAAGGGACTCAAGACCCCAAAGTAAAAGAAGCACTGTTTCCATTAGACCTGTTCTGGCCAAATTATAAGACCACCTGCCACATCTGTGCTACAAGTGAGGCATGCAAAGGCGTCGGAGGCTTATTGAAAATCATCATTATTTTTTCTTTTTCTGTAAGCAGACATGCTCGCTATACCGAAAAATAAACAAGCAAACATTACAGAAAAATATGGATTAAGGGAAAATGAATGTCAACTCCTATTTCTGCCAAGAAAGGCACAAGTTGCTGGAGAAACGAGGAGCCGTGTAGACCGGCGGTCAGCACCCTAGGAAGGTTTGTGGCTGAATCACCTCGTCCCCTGCGAAGATTGCATCTGAAAAATGCAGCCGGCGTGGGGACCCGTGAAGTCAACGGAACGTGCATTTCAAACTCGGTTTCTACTAAAATGCTCCGTGCTCACAGACGGGCGAAAATTAATTTTCTTTCTTCCTCCCCACAAAAGCAGATTAAAATCCCAAACAGTGGGATGAGTGGGTAAAAGTGGAGAGCTTCCTCCCTGAGGGAGACCCCCGCGCGGTCGGCTTCTCCCCCTGACAAGGGATGGCCCCAGCCATCTGAAACGTCGTGCTGCAAGCATAAAGCCGGACCCCGGAGAATGCACTTGAGAAAAATTATACCGCTGCCCTTCCAACAGTTGAAAGCTGGTATGTAACTTTGCTCGAGGTGATCAAACAGCTAGTCAAGGACGCTGTCAGGAACAGAATGAAATTCCAAATAAATTAGCCATGTCCGAGAAGCCAATACAACACCGGATTAAGGCACACAAAGAAAACACAATTTATTCAGCCTACCTTGTCAGAATTCTTAATAACCTTGCTCCCTGTTTCTCACCTCGGGCTGAGCCCTCGGAGGCAGGGGGACAAAGCGAGCCCCACTCGGGACGTGGGGCTACGCATATGTGCATGCACGGCGGGGGCCTACGGTGCAGGTGAGCATTGCGTGTTCATAAAATTGTGGTTTTACGCACGTTGCGGCGGAGACCATACGTGCCGTGCAGAGGAGGCGAGCTGTCGCCAAGCCCGGGAAGCATATGCGGCTCGCTCACGTCTGAATGAGAGAGTTCATACATTAGAATACGGGACGTGGGGGCCAAAGGGAGGAATATTAACCATTTCTGCTTAACTCTTTGGGGTGTGGGAGGCAGAGGCGTCTGCTCCCGCGTCGTGGCAGGGGCATCTTTACTCTGCCATCGTTTCGTGTTTTAAGGCAACAAGTAGGTGAAGGTAACCATAGCCCCTTGCAAATACTCGCTGTCCTCTGATACGATTCATTAATATCTTCCACAGTGCTAAAAACAATACCTTTTCTTTCTTTTTTTATCAATGAACCCAGACGGCTTTCACAGGCCGACTAAAGCTCTTTGAAAGAGTTAACCGGCAGAAGTTTTGCGGCTTTGGAGGAGGCACCTTTGAAGGCTCTGTGGGGATGTATCTGCTTTGCCTAAAGACCTCAGAGAGCCAGGGGCCCTTTCTTCTTCACAGGGAGGCGAGGGGGAGGGGGGGCAGAGGGAGGGGGTTTGCTTTGCAGCACTGAGGCCCTTGCAAAAGATAAAACTGGCAGGAATTTTGAGGGGAACTGGAAGGAAGTGATCCTCCGTTAGTCTGAGACGGAATGTCAAGATGCTTGAGAAATACACAAAATAAAGATTTTCCCAGAAATGGGGGGGGGGGGAGGAGATGACCTAATGGTATTTTTTTTTTTTTAAGATAAAAGAAATGTAGTGAGTGGGGCAGGGGTGTGGGGGGGAGATCTCAGCAGTTTCCCAGGCGTGACTGGGCCTTGATTCTGTTTCTCTTATTTATTTCTAAATTTAAAAAGGAAGGCAGGGGGATCGGGGAAATGCTGGCAAGGCCCTTGGAACGGGCTGCAGAGCGACAGGCAGGAAGATGCTGTGGGCTCTCAGAGCTGAATTGAGCCACAAGAAAGGGCCCTGCTGCCACCAAATGTGTGTCACAAGACACAAGAACTGCCTGCCCCTCGGAAATGCCACAACCCCCCCCCAAGGGGCTTGTGTCCACACACCTCTTGGAGTCCCCACTGTCACCAGTGGGAGATGGTGGTCAATGATCAGGGGTGGGATAGATAGCTCAGGCTGGCCCAGGCCTGCCCTAGGCGATGGCTCGCTCGTGGAAAACGCACCGGCACCTGTCTGCAAGCACAGCGCTCCGTCCTCTTCCACCCCCTGCTTCTCCCGCTCACTGCTTCCCCTGCTGTGCTCGGATCCACCGTATGACGGTGGCACTCATGGCCACAGCAGCCCAGAGGAGAGGACAGAGTGGGGCAAAGGCCCGCAGATGAGGGGAGAGAAGCGTTCTTCAGAGCTGATAAAAGCCATCCATGCACAGATCCAGACATCCCAGAGTCCAACGTCACACAAGTCTATTAAAATATACCTAGATTTTGCTCTTAATCAGGTATGTTAAGATGACAGACACAGAAAGCACTGCCTTGAAAGAAGAACATGTTAGTTGCAGCCACCTCGCAGAGCCACAGGGACAGGCCCGGGGCCGGTCAGGAGCAGCAGCAGTCGTGGTTTCAAGGATCCAAATCAGCAATTATGGAGCATCAGAGATGATTATGGCCCAAGAGAGTATCTTGGAAACAGCCGGAGAAGCAAGGCAGAGCTGAAGTCCAGGTGACAGTGGGACCCTCCGCTGGCCTCCCCACAGCAACAGGGAGACGGAAAACCATGCCTTTGCGTATCATAGGGGTTAGGAGTAAAACAATCACCTAAAACTGTGTATGTCCAACCACAAACACGTGAATAAGGACGTACGCTAAGGTTTGGGGAGTTTGTCTATGGATGTGTGTGCCTGGTTAAAGGAAAGACATATATATTTTTTTTAAGATTTTATTTATTTATTCATGAGAGACACCGAGAGAGGCAGAGACACAGGCAGAGAAGCAGGCTCCCCGCAGGGAACCTGATGTGAGACTCAATCCCAGGACCCTGGGATCATGCCCTGAGCCGAACCACTCAACCACTGAGCCACCCAGGCGTCCTAAAGAACACATATCTTTAACTTTGCAAGAAAGATGCTGATTTATTTTCCAAAGTGGTGGCACCAAGTGACACTTGGGACAGCGGTGTGCAGGTGCTCTGGCTCCTCTCATCCTCAGCAACGCTGGCTTTCTGATGTTTGCCAGTCTGGCAGGTGAGAAACAGTGTCTCACAACAAACAAAAAACAAGTGAGTTTTATTTTTAATCTTCCATGTTGGGTTTCCTCTCCTATGAAGTTAGAGTTGAGGCTTTGGCCAGTGAGCTGCTTCTTACTGATTTATAGGCACTCTTCACTGAATTAACCATGCATCGATATCCTGTGTTCTGAAGCTCTGGCATCTGGGGCCTGGCTGTCCCTAGAGGGACTGCCAGGGTCAGCCCATTCCTAGAGACAGCAAACAGCTCGCCCAGGAGCACGCCTCTCATACACACCAGCCTATACCCCAACTCTATGCTTTATCAGGCCTCCACGCTCTGAGCTACTGTCCCCCTGGGGCCT